ATCATCATACAACATTGACACATCATCATAAAACGTCATCACATCATCATATAACGTCATCACATCATCATATAACATAAAGCATAAATGATACGTGCAAGGGCCACTGGGCATGTGTCGCCATACATAAGACAAATCTTTCAATCGAGCCGATAAGCATCATGTTTTCACGAATTTATCCCTTATAAAGTTTGATTCTATCCTTTGAAATCCAAGTCAACCTATGTGAGTTCAGGACATCAGTTTCAAATTCGAACTTCTATAAAATTATTTCTCTAATTTATATGGGTCCATATGTTAAGCATCATGCAAACATTAGAGGTTTTGCATGAATAAAGTCTTTCCTCTTACGGTGTGTTTCCCTTCTCTTTTTATTTTAATTATGTTAACAATTATCTTCGGCCAATTTTAATAGATTATTGAATTATACATATAATCAATTCCATATCTCTCATTTTTTTCTTCTATGTATTTGGTCTGTTTTCACCAAATCTTTCTTTTCTTTGTTAAACTTTTCCTTTTCCTCTCTATATTTAGCCGGTTAATTTTTTTCACCAAATCTTCCATTTTCATCTCTGATCTGTATCTACTTCTTATCTTCCCTTTGTTCTCTATGTTATGCATTTACTTTTTTTTTTTTTAATTTTATTTTGTTGACAGATATGGACCATTCTAGTTATTTTTCTATAACCTAACATGCTCACTAAAATCTAAATAATCTAAATAATGGGTAAGGGAACAAGAGATATGATTCTGAATAATTAGATAAAGGAAAAGTAAATCTGATTCTGACCTGATTTCTTGTAATAGATAAATGAAAAGGAGATATGATTCCGGTTGAGGAGAGATAGTTGGGAGAGGGATGAGGGGTAGTGGAGAGCAGTGTAGGTAAAATTATTATTTTTACTATTCAATTATTTAATTATTATTATTATTATTATTTTATACTGTTGTTACAGTTTCTCCCTTTGATTTCTTCGTGAAACTTAAAGATGGTGTGACAAGGAAGAGCTAGGGATTGGTTTTATGACTTCTCTTGAATTGTAGCTTAAGATATTCACCTCTAAAGTTCCTCCAAAAACTGATTTCTCATCCAAGCAAAAATAGAGGATTTCTTATTGGCTAGCCGATTCAAGAGGTTTTCAAGGCTTGATTTCTTCATGTAACCTCTACCTTATCCTTCCCTTAAGCTAAAGGAATTGGTTTGGAGGAACAACTTTGAGTGTGTGTCTCCAATTCTAAAAAATCGCTCTCTGTCTACAAGTTATCCAAAACACTCGATTTTTCGATCTCTTGGATAGCTTGTTCTACAACGTTTTAGCTCTCGATTCCTTCATCAAAGTTACTCAACTTCTCCCTCTGAAGCTAAAGGAATACTTAATTTGAAGGAAAAGAGACCGTAGATAAGAATTCAAAACTTACCCAAATTTGTGCTCAAAATTGATTTTCTTCAACTCGGCACCTTCCTGAGGTTATTTCTCTTCGTGATGTTCTATGGAAGCATTCCTTGGCAAAAACTGCTTGAGATCGTCCTTGCTCGACGAATTATCTTGTATCCTCATATTAGATTTTCAAGTTTTCCTTAAAGTTCAACAATGGCGGATTGGATTGGAGAAATGGTTTCTAGGCACTTTCAGCACTCGATTTCTTCATAGAATTTGTGGATAATCTTGTTTAAAAATGTCGGAACAAGTTTGAAGAGAAATAATGAAGAATTTTTCTCGTATTTGGAAGAAATCTGAGAGTAGGAGACCTAAAATCTAAACGCTTATTGCCTATGATTGGGAGTTCTATCCTTCGGTTGGGTTAGCTTTTTGGTAGGCGGTAGTAGAGTTGCGTCAGGGCACGATTCTTGGTCCAAACTATTTCCCCAACTTCACACTTTATAGGGGAAGCTTAAACTAACACTGAGAGATCCAAAGTCATGGTTTGTAGATTGAATTGGGATGTAGCGCAGCTTGGTAGCTCCTTTAGTTTTGGGTACACAATGTCTGTCACCGGTTCCAATCCTCTCATTACGCTTCAACCGGGTTATTCTATTCCCCTCTTTCTTAGAAAGAAAAGAACTGAAATCAAAAGACCCACAGGTCGGGCCGGGGCTCTGCGCTCTTTCTTTCTGTGTGGGACGATGTTTTCTGAATAATTCGTCAAAAATATCCTCTCCGATCAGCGAACTACCGACTTTCAATTTGAATTCTGATAGTTGGATTTGATGATCTGTGAACGTTCTATGGTGTTCAATTTTGGAGAAGATCCAACGACTGGATTTTGAGATTCAAATGATTTAGTGCATGAGGTTAGTGTAGAGATTCTGATTTTGAGCATCCATAACTTGAGGGCTATTTTTTGGAATTTCCCACTTTTCGAATATTTTATTATTAATTTTCCTTAAAAAAAATCCATAATTGTTTAAAACAGTCTTCATCCTTTGTTGGTCATTTTTTCGTTCTTGAGCTTCTAGAAGATATTAGGTAGGAATATTTTGAGGTGATTCAGGTATAGCAAACTTCATGTCATTAGGCTAAATAGCACAACTACTCGAATTCCCTAGCCATAACTATCTCATGCTAAGTTGTCAACCCTTCACCCATCACTATGTGTATCAATTAGGTAGAATGCGCAATATAGAGCGAGTGGAATGATATGGAGGGCAGTGCCACTCATGTATTCACGAGGAGAGAAACTCATTATTTACTCACTCTATGTTACAATTAAGAACCTACATATATCATAAATCATAAAGTAGGCTACTTATTGAGTTCTAAAGTTTGTGTTATGATATACAAGGTAGGCTACTTATTAATAAATTCTAAGGTTTGTGCTATGATATATAAGATAGGCTACTTATTGAGTTCTAAGGTTTGTGCAACTAGCTCTCTACAAAGTCTAATTATTCTCAAATTCTAGATTTATAGAGAGACATTTCGAGAATTGAATTCGGGACTTCTCATACCCAAAGCAAGAATGATACCACAACACCAAATGCCCATATGTTGATATTATTTTTTATGTTTTATTAATGTATTATCATTATTTTATTAATAAAGAAAGAGAGTATTAAAATCCGGTGGAAGTTTTTTTTTTTTTGCCCATATGTTGATATTATTTTTTACGTTTTATTAATGTATTGTCATTATTTTATTAATAAAGAAAGGGAGTATTAAAATCCGGTGGAAGTTTTTTTTTTTTTTTTGGGTAGGAATTTGCTTCTATTATTTATATGCAGATGCTTTATCAAATTTTATATAATCCCCTTTTGTGTGATTTCTTTAATGTTTGTATTTAATATGATTTCAACACTTTAATTTATCCATTTGATGATGAGATTCGAACTTAGGTTACGACTGGATTCAAAGTCTAATGCTCTAACCACTAGACCATGAGACCACAAATATTTACAAGATTTGTGTGTAATAAATCTCTTAACTTCAAAAATTAAATATTATCTTCATATAATTTCAAAACTTTGAAAATAACTAATGTGTTCGCATTTTTTTTTCAATTTTGTATTTGATACAGTTTCTGTAACGCCCCTAATTTTCTAAACCTAATTAGTGACGTCACCCATACATGCATAATTCATTACGCGGAAGCTCATCATAAATAACCTTGGAAAAACACAAAAAAGTCTTTTATAAAGATTCATAAATCCAAAACAAACCTATTTCCGAAAATAAAACCTTCAATAACTGAATTCAAAATAAATCTAAATAAAACAATATTTAATGCTTTAACTTAAAAGAGTCAAATAAAGTAAACTTCTAAAAATATCCCATCTCCAACTTTCATTGTATCCTCGGCTCCGCCGTCAACCGTACATTGGCACCTTGCCTTTACCTGAAAAATGTAGGTAGCACGTGTCTTGAGTATTTTATGAAATACTCAGTAAGTCACCCCACTATTGGGGTTAGAAATATAAACACTTGCAACATATGAGCGAGACCTAACTTTTCATAAACTTTACATGGCCTTGGGCGCTTTTCTTTTTTGGGTAGGGTTGGATGTGTGGTACTCCTTCACACACGGCCCATGTATGCGTACATGGACCCACCAGGCGGCCTCATATACATACCCCCTGGGCTTGACTTGGTCGGGCACAACGTGTTACATGTCGCCGGACACCACAGGACAGAAAAGGGCCTGCATGATATCATGGCGAACATAAATATCATATTTCATTCTTTCATAACATAAAGGGGAAGAATCCCGATGCAAGTGACATACATATATGCATGAGATCCCTTAACATACCTTACATGGCATTAAATAAGCATTGCCAACATCACATATGCATTTCTTACATTACATGGCATATCACATAACCTATATTACATGGCATATTACATAACATGAAAATACATTCCAGTTCCATAAGCATTTCATGACATGACTTGGGAATACTCGAGTATACATGGCATCAATCAACATTTTCATGGCATATATTACTAACATATCATTCATAACTTCACATAACATAAACAGTCAATAGTCAACATAATCCATACATCACATAACATAAACATCGACAGTCAACACAATCTATACATCACATAGTCATATCACATAAATATGGTACATGCAGGGGCCACAGGGCACGCACCATCATATAACACATAGTAAGCTAACTCCAACAGTAAGGTCACTTACCTCGATGGCCTTGGCCGAAGTCACTCACAACAAGCTAATTCCAACGGTTAAATATGTCCTATAATAACCACGTAAAAACTTAGCAACCTTTCATAACATATCTGTCACGGCCCAAAATTTAAATCTCGAAATCAAGGGCTGGACCAACAGACTATGCAATGAAATGTGTAAAAGCAAATAGAGAAGACGAGATTACAAAAACTTTAGCAATTACGTAAAATGTTTGAAATTCGAAACAAGGTGTTCAAGTATGAAAAGTATGTAAACGATTTACAAAACAATGCATGACAGATCTTAAACAAAATTATGCACAGACTTCTAGACGCCCCGGGACACTCCTCTGTGGCATTAAGATTCAGAATGCATTCCCGCATCGATCCATGGCATCACTCACCTGAAAAACAAAGAGTAGAAAGGAATGAGTATAAAAATACTCAGTAAGCAACCTACTTGTAGGCTCTTTTCGCATCCTTATCTTGGTAGGTAATCACGGTCTTTCTCGGGTTTCTAAGGAGAGTGATCTAAGCTGCAACTCTCTTTTCTGTACCTTAGGAGGCATACCCATCTTAAGTAGTGAAATGATCAGTGTCCTGAGGTGAGACACGACCTCATAAGTAAATCTGAGGGGATTGTATGGCTGGATCTGAAAACGTGACTCTCTCTTAACATCATCCATGGAGGTTAGCTGACGACCCTCACATGGGACAATACATCCACTAAACGGGGTGCGACCCCCTATGTGCCGGTCAGCTACTGAGTCATCCTATGTGGCTCCACATCCCCCGCTCAGGGACGGGTTTCTACGACCCAGGAGTCCTGTTCAGAAGACCCCTTAGCTATCACCACTAGGTTTGGGCACCTGTCAAACTTCCCTATCCAGATCTGCCAAGCTCAACGTTCACTATACCGGAGCTCTGTCTCGACGATACGGTATCAGAGGAGAGAGGGAAGTGGAGGTTCTAATGACACTATCTACACTGCTCGTGACGACCTAGGAAAGAAAAAAAAAACTCAGTCGCCGGAAAATCTGCGAGTTTTTCAGCGACCGCCGAGTTTCGCGAAACCCACGTGAAACGACTGCCACAGCATGCCCAGCCTTCAGCCCACGACTCCCAGCACCATCAGGATACCTGCAAAGGGAGAAAAGACAAAAAACTACGAGAGAGAGAGACATTTCGGAAAAAAAAAAGTTGACGAGTGTCTAGTTTCTCTGACGAACCCCCAAACCACCCTCAAACCGACACCAAACGACCTGTTACCGCCACGAGAAGGATCCCTAACGAAAGCACGATAACTCAAGGTGCGTTTTATGCTTTTTCGTAAATGTCGTCGTCGGTAACAAAGGTCGGAAAATTGGGTATTTCCTAATCGTTCTTAGATCTGTGGTTTTAGGAACCTTTAGGCCGTAAAACTCCCGGAAAAGAAAGAAGGACGACAAATAAAGAGGAAGAGGAAGAAAGAGGACCGAAATCGGCAACGGAAACACCGCGGGAAGGAGAGAGAAAACTTGCCGAAAAATCGGCCGGAGTTGGGTAAGGAAGACGAGGTCCACTGTAACGACCCTAAATTTTCACATACTCAGAGTCGCTACTATCATCTCATGCTCATCTATAATGCGGAAATATAACTCTTACATGAACATAATTGATAACGTAAATTTCAAAAAAACGTTTAAAACAACTTCTTCTCTGGAAAACACAACCATGGTCTTACGTGTTTAAATATGAAATACTGAAATTTAGAGAAAACAAAAACAATTACAAAATAATTTAAAACAATGAAATGCAAAACAACCTATTCTAACTTGAGACTAGAAATTTAAATACCGGGATGGTTACCAATCTCTCTTTTAGGTTTTGGAAGCTTGCCTCACAAGCATCATTTCATATAAATGGTGCCCCTTTTCTCGTTAACTGTGTCAAAGGCGAGGCTATTCTAGCGAAGTCCTACACGAACCTTCGATAGTATCCCGCTAGTCCCAAGAAACTCTGTACTGATGTTACCGAAGTTGGGCGTTCCTACTTCGTGACCGCTTTGACCTTAGTAGGATCTACGGATACTCAACCCTTTGTCGCCATGTATCCTAGGAAAGAGACTTATCGTAACCCAAATTCACACTTTGAGAACTTGGCATACAACTTGTTCTCTCTTAGGGTGGCTAGGACTTTTCAGAGGTGTTTCTGGTGTTCCAAGTCTGTTTTCGGGTACACTAGGATGTCACCAATGAGCACGATCACAAAAGTGTCTAGACAATCCTTGAACACTCGGTTCATTAACTCCATTAACACAGCTGAAACATTGGTGAGGCCAAATGACATCACCACAAACTTGTAGCGATAATACCTTGTCCTAAATGCTATCTTTGGTGCATCTTTTTCTTTACCCTTTATTTAATGGTAACCTGACCGCAGATCTATCTTAGAAAATATAGTTGCTTCTCTTAATTGATCGAATAAGTCTTCTATTCTAGGCAGAGGGTATTTATTCTTTATAGTTCTCTTATTTAACTCTCTGTAATCAATGCACAAACACATTGATCCATCTTTCTTCTGAACAAACAACACTGGCGCACTCCAGGGGGATACGCTAGGTTGAATGAAGCATTTATCGAGTAAGTCTTGTAATTGCGCCTTGAGTTCCTTCAACTCTGCTGGCGTCATACGATAGGGTGCTTTGGAAATAGGCCCAGTTCCCAACTCGAGTTCGATGATGAAGTCGACCGCTCGGGAAGGGGGTATTCCAGGTAGGTCATCCGGATACACATCTGAAAACTCGTTTACGGTTGACACGTTTTCTAGGGTCTTTTCTTTTCCTCTTACATCTACGGCACATGCTAATATAGTCCAACCGCCTTGTTGGACTAATCTCTTTGCTTTCATCATCGAGACTACCTTTGGGGGTAGCCCCGGTATTTGTGCCTTTAAATTTAAAGCTAGGTCCCACCGATGGTGAGAATATCACCTTTTTTTTTTTTTTTTTGCGACATTCTATAATAGCATGGTTTGCAACTAGTCAATCCATGCCTAGTACTATGTTGAAGTCGGTCATCTTTACTACTATTAGGACTACGCTTAGAGTTTGGTCGGCTACTATTGCTTGATCATTCTTTACTCTATCCTTAGTTACTACGTCTACCCTCTCAGGGGCTGCTTTCCGACCATACATACAATAAGGGTTCTAATTCAAACCCTGTCTCTAATCCCTCTCGAGGTGGGCTCTCTTCAGCCTCACCTCGTCCTCTATCTCTAATAAGAGGTCGTCCCCTTCCTCGTCTTACTCTTTCGCATGGTCTAGGCAGCATGGTTCTAGAAACCAAGATAGCATCTCTTAAGTCTAAAGCTCATTATTTATGAAATTATGCTATGCATCACATCTACTAAGTTCACATCATATTGCAAACAAAATCACTCAGCATGCAACACATCACATCATGCTCTTAAATAAATACGTGAAATATCACAACAATTTCAGTAACATTAACATAAAAATGCATGCAAGTTTCAAAACGTTTTTTTTTTCTTATCTTGTGCAAGGCGTACCTGACGGTGACGGGGCATCGACGTTGGGACCATGGAACGTGCCAAGCCTACATTGTAGGCTAGTCTACAGAATCTAAAACCTAAAGCTCTGATACCAACTGTTTCGACCCTACATTTCCACATACTCAGAGTCGCTACTATCATCTCATGCTCATCTATAATGCGGAAATATAACTCTTACATGAACATAATTGATAACGTAAATTTCAAAAAAACGTTTAAAACAACTTCTTCTCTGGAAAACACAACCATGGTCTTACGTGTTTAAATATGAAATACTGAGATTTAGAGAAAACAAAAACAATTACAAAATAATTTAAAACAATGAAATGCAAAACAACCTATTCTAACTTAAGACTAGAAATTTAAATATGAGTCTACCTTATGCACGTGCCACAGTCTCTGCTCGTGATGCCACCGTCCTCCGTACAAGTGCGCCTTGCCTTTACCTGAAAAATGATGTGGCACACGGCCTGAGTATTTCAAAGAATACTCAGTAAGTGGCCCTACTATAGGGGGCCATGCAAATGCAAACACATGCAATCATGATTTAGGGACCTATCTCTAATCATCTTAGGGGTGGCCTCCAGTCTCGGATAAATTGGATGTGTAGTACTTCCCTACACACGACTCACACGTGCGAGTGTGAATCCCCAGGGCGCTCGCACACCCCCTGGACCCTCTGGTCAAGCTAATCTGTAGCGACGTCCGGAGGTCAGCGGAACCCCATAGTGTCATGCACCTCATGAACACCCTCATCTGTGTGCTTTCGCACCTGTGCGCATACGCGCTCATCATATGGTGCGCGTCCGCACTCATCATCTCTAGGGGAAGTAGCCCTATGCTTATGAACATACAATATGCATGAGGTCCCTCTAAATCCATCATAATGTCTCTTCTGACACAACCCTCTAGTCTCATCTCTTTGTTACTTTAGGTAACACATACTCGTGGATATCATTTTCATGCTCTTAGGGTTGTGTCCTATGTCGATCTAACGACATGATGCAATATGACACTCATCATCATATAGCATGCTCAATATGGAAAACATCATCATATTAAGGTAAACGTCACGCAATCATCATACTCATCATATTGCCACAAAGTGCATCAAATATATCAAGTTCGACATTCATCAAAATATATATATACTGAGCACATCATCAAGTATCATAACCCACACATCATCATAAGTCATACATCATCATAACTGTAACGACCCGAAAAAAGAAAAAAAGAAAAAAATAATAATAATTATAAAAAAAAAATAAAAAAATAAAGTATGGACCCTCTCTCCACCTTCCCCAAATATCTCCCCAACACCTCCAACTACAGAGGGATCTGCAAAAGAAAGAAACACGAGAAAAAAAAATGGCTACAGGGAAGGAATGGCTTCACTCCAAGAAGATCTGATAGGAAGGGAAGAGATAGAAAATTTATGGGTAAGTTAGATCTCTTCTTTTATTTTTGCAGGAGATAGAAAAGTTATGTTAGATCTCCTTTTCAATTATTTAGATTTTTTTTTTTTTTTTTGATATCAAATAGAAAATCAAAATTGATTGAAAATGGTTGTGTCAATTGCATGACTCATCATTTTTAGGAAAGAGAAGAAAATCATAATTGATTGATGCATAGTCAGTTTTATGAAGGAAATTAGAATGGATTGTAAATGAATTTGATAGTCATTTGGGAAAGAGAAAGAAAAAAGAATGGATTGAAAATGGCTTTCTGTTAATTGAATAGTCATATTAGGAAAGGGAGGAGAACGATTGAAATTGTTTTATAATTGCATAATCATTTGTAGGAAGAAAAAAAAATACAGAGAGAAGAGAACAAAGAGGTACAAGAAAGA